TCCACCGTATCCACCGTGTCCACCGTATCCACCGTGTCCACCGTATCCACCGTATCCAAAGAGATTATCACTACTCCAACCCATTGCTTATATTAAATCAGACTAGAATTAATATAAAAGTGAAAAAAATCTATTGATTAATGTTATTCAATGTTTATACTTACTTGTTTTATATATAAAATTTTTGTTTATAATATGAATGAATATCAACGAAGAAGCTATCGATCTTTTATACTCAACGATATTGTGTATTTTCGTTGTTACTATTTAGGTATCGATGTTTCGAGTAAAATCTGATGAGTAAATATAGGCGTTTTACTCATGCTTTTTACGTCGCTAAAATTACAAAAATTTCAGTTCTATAAGTTAACGTCAGCAATCATGCATGACATTATGCATTGCTATCAGTCATCTATATCATTGATGTAATATTCACAAAAAAAAAACACATTTATACTTCTATCTTTTTTTTTATTCAATAGATTTTGTACACAAATAGTTATTTTTTTCAAATTCATAATAATAAGCAGTAAATTTTGTTTTCTTTAATATTTCATTTAATATTTTAATATATGAAACAAACTAATCAATTTAATGTTGAATGCACTTTTTCTTTTATAAAAAAAAAAAGAAAAGAAAAACAAGTCAGGTGCGGACATTTTACAACTTCAACAAAGTTTCTTTTTGGCATTTTGTTGTCCAGATTTGATAGAGCTCGTGGAGTTATCTATAGAAATATTGTCGTTGACATTTTCATATTTTCTGATGATGTTTTTGTGGTGAAACTTACAAAAATCTGGTTCGAAAAATCAGAAGTCTACAAAAATTGAAATACGCCAAGAGCATCAAGTCTCAGTAGCTTCAATATTTATCCAAAATTTTTTTTTAAATTCTACTCGTCATGTAGTTAGGAAAAAAATTATACATGCTTTTTAAAAAATATTGTTTGATTATTGAAAAAATCGATGTTTTTTGATAGGAAGGAAAAAAAGCTATGGGAACAGATTTGTATTCTAAGATTTTGACCATCAGAACTTTAATTCCAATCACTTATTTTCGAATACGCTAATCTATACTCCTCTATGGTTGAAATTTGACAGAAATCAGTTTCCAGTATTGAGTATACTCTATTCGATGTACATTTTTGCGCTGATTCTGAATATGATAATCAGTTTTTTTTTGGAAGAGAACTTCTAATGGTCAAAGTCTTAGAATACAAACCCATCTATATAGCTTTTTATCCTTTCCTATCGAAAAAAATCGATTTTCTCAACAATCAAACAATATTTCTCAAAAAAAAAGCATTCATAATTTTTTTCCTAACTGTATGACGAGTAGAGTCAAAGAAATATTTGGATAAACATTGAGGTTACTGAGCCTTGATGCTTTTGATATATTTCAATTTTTATAGACTTTTCTGATTGTTTGAACCGAATTTTCCTACATTTCACTAC